TATTCTGTTTAAAACAAGTATCCAGATGAAAATTCTAATCAAATCAATAATAATTCCTACTTTAACTGAGAAAAATATTACTCCAGGGAAGTGCACGCAGGGAACTCAAAAGCATTAATTACTTGCATACAGACGAATTAGTACAGTAGTAATGTAACAAGAACACAGTCTAGAAATCAAGTTAAATAAATAAAACTGGATGCTATACACTGAAAGTGCATTTACAAAAGAGGAGGAAGTGTGGTGGCGCCGGCGGGAATGGTGTCTAGTGTCTAACTGTCTACTGTGTCTAGTGTATGTCAGGTGGCTGTGGTGGGAGGATCATGCTGGTCAGTCACCACAACACCCTCCCTCCCTCACACTGCTACACCGACCCCCGTCCACTCTACCGCTCACACCCTCCGTTCCTCCCCAGCCTTCACCCAGTCACAACTACAGTAGTTCCCACTCTCCCTAACACTATCAACATGATCCCTCCTCCATGCCAGCCAAATGTATCCACCACCCCTGGCACTCAACTATCTGTAACCTACTCCCCTACCGTCACTGCTCAACTCAATCTATCCCTCCTCAACCCACCCCTCTCCCGTCGCCGTTCAATCTACCAGACCTTCTTATGATATTATTATTGACGCCAGACAATAGGCGCCTTGCGTCAGCAAGTATTTGAGTGCCTGAAGCACGGACTAGTACAAACAGCGTCCTGCCAGCCTCACCTGATATCTCTTCAGGTGTTGCAAACTTGCAATGGCTGCGAAAAATACCGTCAATACAACTACTAACTTCGACAAAAACTAAACATGGCCTAACGTGCATAAACGTTGACACGCCATATTAAAAGCATTAAGTTTTTAAATGGAGAAACGATAAATTAACATATTATATATATATATATATATATATATATATATATATATATATATATATATATATATATATATATATATGTGTGTGTGTGTGTGTTATAGGAAAGCCTAGCACAAGTAGTTAAAGCTATAAATTACCTGTATATTATGAAAACCGACATGAACAAAGGATACAACACTTAACCCCATTTAAGCCACAAAAATCTTAAGTCAACAATACTTCCAAAAACGGAGGTAAAAGTTATCAAGTGAAAACCAAATGCCGAAGCGTTACACCAGAAAATAACCAGACAATATTAAGCAAGGAAAGTAATGATGGTGTGATGCCTCTAGCTATAGACAATCAGATTTAAACAAGCCAATACAACCAATAACCAATCATATTCGAGCATCGTAAGTTTTAAACGGACACAAAAGGCATTATATGACCGGAAATACCATTGTCCCCAGACCGCCGACCGGGACACCCTTCCACCCCTCCCGGCGCCTCAATCACCTAGCCACTATCCCACGGACCCACCCTCACGCATGTATACAATACAACCCATCTTCGAATCTTGATCAATCTTATATCTTAACCTAAAAAGCACTTAAACTTTACAAATGAGAGCACTCATTCAGCATACAACGACTATTTGTCTGAGTGTTATAAAATCAATAGTTCTCAAGTACGAGGCGAAGACTCCTCCATTCAGTAGTATTTGCAGCATAATGCTCAAATTTACAGTCCATAGTCAAATAGATCAACAGCACAAAACTGATGATATGCAAACTTTTAAACTTGTGTCATCAAACTGGCTAACATATACCATATGTTCCTCGGGTTATAACTTACAAAGGAAATACTACTAATGCCAGGTGCTGTTTCAGTTTTCCTCCCGCCCGGTATAACCGCAGGGATGGTCAGTTAAGACCCACAACGAGCCCTGGCGGTGACAATGCAGCCACTTTTTCTAAGTACGTACATTTTATATTTCATAACGAATCACATCAATTTGCATTCTTTTCACACGCGGGCTTATTGTGTATAACCATTTTAATTCCTAGAACAATAAGAAACTGCCAATTTAACCGGCGGGGTGGACATCCAGTACCGGATGAAGGAAGTTTTCAACATACGAAGACTCCAGGCAGAAACAAAGATGTCAGCTGCTTCCATCACTGAATTTCAGTATGCAGACGACCTCACACTCGTTGCTCACACCGAACGCGACCTACAGGAGATCCTGAACACCTACACAGATGCGTATGCACATTATGGCCTCGTGGTGAATTCACTTAAGACTCTGATTCTCTTTCAGCCTACCCCTCGTTCAACCACAGCTTCACCATCCATCTAGCTCACTGGTTCCCAAACTGGGGGCCATGGCCCCCCAGCAAAATTTAGGGGGCCATAAGCTGAGGCTATGTACACATAAAAATCCCAAGCCCCACCACACTAGAACAGCCAGTCAGCAGCTGAGCCAGCCAGAGATATGAATTGGGAGAGGGGGGCCATGGATAAGGATCATATATGAAAAGTGGGTAATGATCAGAAAAAGTTTGGGAACCACTGATCTAGCTTAACGGGACTACTCTTTGTAATGTTACCCACTTCCAGTTCCTTAGTTCCCACCTGTCCACCACCTCAGTTATTGATGAAGAGATTCATCAATAGGTTGTAGGTAGATTATAGGTTGTAGGCAGCTACCAAACAGGGAGGTACTACCGCCTGGGAAGATATTGGAAGCATAATGTGTTGTCTAATGGTGGACCCTGCTGCCATATGTCATCACGAAAATTGTGACCAAGTCCCAGGTTGCTGATCTGACTTTCTGCCTCATTTACACACAATTGCAGGGTCTCAATTCTTTCTCTAATTATCATTGACAACACAACATTCATATATTGTTTCTCACTTTCGTTTTTTTTCTTTATGGTTCTTTATTGTTATTATTATTATTTTATTATTTTTATTTTTGTACTTTTTATAATAAATTTTACTTATCGGAATAATTATTATTACATTTTCGTCCCCCAGGCCCCGATGTGGGTCAGAGACGTGTCCCCGGGTGGACTAATCCCAGTGTAAAAAAAAATCGGATCAGATGTACATCTCAAGCCTTTGGCAGACTCCGTACTCGTGTCTTCAGCTGTAGAGAGCTGAAATTATCTGCAAAGCTGCATGTGTATCCAGCAGTGGTCGTCCCCACCCTGCTGTATTTCAGCGAGACATGGGCCACAGACAAGACCACAGGGCACTTGAAAACTTTCACCAATGAAGTCTACGTTCTATCCTTTGAGTTTGCTGGGAAGACAAGAGACCAAATGCCAGCATTCTCGCTGACACCAACTGTAGGAGCATCGAGGCCCCCATTATCCTTGAATAACTACATGGACGACAGTAGGCTACCAAAGCAACTATTTTACAGTCACTTAACAAATGATAAACGTAACGCTGGCGGACAACGAAAAAGATATAAACACAGTCTGAAGACAAACCTGAAAAAGTGCCAAATTGACCCCTTTACCTGGGAAATGATCACTCCACACAGTAACGCTTAGAGGAGCAACACATGAGGTGTCAATCCTTTCGAATTAGCCCAACTGCATGCCGAGGCAGACAAGCACCAACACCGGAAAGATGCAGCAACCCCTCCAGCACAAAATGTTGGCCTCCATACGTGCAACATGTGTGGACAGCCCTGTCGATTCAGTATCGGCCTCTCCAGTCACCTCAAAGTTCACCAACGAAGGTGACATCCTTAATAACTAATATCATTGCATCATAGCTGGATGATCATCATACTCGATTCCTAGTGTGTATGAGAGAGCGAGAGAGAAAGAGAGACTAACACTGGACAATGGGGTACTATAGTAATGAAGAACAGACAGACCGCCTGAACAGCTAATAAGCTGATAAATGGCGAAATTATAAAATAAAGACGAATAGGGTACGTTACCGGTAACTTCGAAATTGCCTAACAGGCTGCTTTTTGGCTATTTTGGTGCTCTTTTTAGTATTTTACCCTACATTTTCCCTCTACTTCAAAGCCCTGCTCACTTTGTTGTTAGTTGGGGAGTCAAATCTCCATAAAGGTTTATTTGCGACGGAAATGAAGGTCAGATTCGCTTGAAACAATACAAAATACACTAGAAAACCCCATTTTTGTGAGTAATTTCCGTGGTCGACAAAAAATTATTCTTTCCCGAAAATATAAAGTAATATTCCTTTGGCGTTGGTCTGGGGAAGGTGAAATAGCGGACACGTGGGGAGGGGCAGTTTCCTGGAAGATACAACAAAGTATAGATTTTATTGGCCTATTGTGCACAGCTCAGAATTTTCCAATATACACAATTTCACACTGTAGAAGTGATGCATACAGTACTTTTGTAAACTTTCGTAACCGACAGATTATTGCTTCAACTGCCTTTTTAAACAAAATCAATTGACAAGTTTTCTTATTTTTCTCGGTTATTAGACACAGACCGATACCAGTATACGTATATCTATTTAGTACAATCGTTATACAAAATCATATTGGATCAATACAGTATGTTCAATAGATAACATAAAGCATATACACACAATGGCAGTTATGTCAGTTCATTTAAAAAAATATCCCGTGAAACCCATTTAAACTTCACTAATTGTTTCTCTTTTGTACAAAATTCAAAGTATAAACTTATTTGACAAAGTCACACCTCTTGCTCTCTGATATGTAAGTAGCTTAAACTACCTGTGCAGGTGGGGTCGATATGCTCCAAAATTTTACGTGTGACTAGTGACAGCCCTCATAAACTAAAATTTAGCGTTCATGATCTCATATTGTTTCCCACAAATATGCACAGATAGTTGTTTTAGCTCCTGTACAGTACATACACACTGAAGCATTGCAGTAATTCTCAAGGTGACACGATCAAAGGACTGGCGGCATTTGCTTTTTAATGAAGATCTATAGTCCGTCCATTTACTAAAATGTGCAAAATTTCGTACAGTACTTCTAATAACCTATTTTTATGTTGGGAGTTTTCAAACGGTAAGCAAGCCACGTTTCCTTCACTATTATCTGATTCAGCTGTACAGGATACCTGTCAAGAGCTAACAAGCATAGTCACATTTAACTTATGTCCAAAAGGTAATAGAGCACTTACCGGTTGTGGTTGGGGAATGCAGCAACGACTGTCGGGAAGTTTGCATGTAGACGTCCTTGACCTCGACCTGACTGACCTACAAACTGACCCACCCATACCCAACCTCGGTGGACACCTCTCAACCCAATCATAATCACGTTCGGGTATCACGATATAGTCGCCAATCACACTGAAATTACACGGTATTTTCTCATTACAAGAAATGAAACATTAATTTGGTTATTAACTGATCAGTTCAAAAATACTAAAGCAACTGACAACATGTAACAGACGATCAATGACAATAATTTTCAACGTTTATATAGATTTACAGTATACTGTAACCTGAACTCCTCGTCCACCTACGTGACAGACCGCTTACTCACAATGGTTGGTATTGATCACAAGGCTTTACAGTCAAAGCGGTATCACTGAATTTGGCAGAAATAAAATCTACTTTAAAAATTTTATCTGAATAGTTAAATGTAAGATTCTCAGTGAGAACAACCTTTATAAATAAGACGTCGCCCTACACGAAACCTTTCACTGCTACGCCTCGCAGCTGACTGTTGTTTACCAGTGTCCAGTGACAGCAGAGCCATCTGTTGGGAGCAGTTGACACAAGTCGCCGCTGCACGCGTCAAGGTGATCCTTTGATTTTTTTTATATTATTCTCTGTTTTTCTGAAGCACACCCTTGTTGTTGAAATTCTCACCTTTGAATATATAGAAAAATAAATTAATTCAAGATTTTTTCGTGACCGATCGCCCAAGCGGCTAACGAGCCGATCTTTTGGTGAAGAGGATAAAAGAAATGGAAAAGTAATCAGAGACGTGACCGATCGCCCAAGCGGCTAACGAGCCGATCTGTGGTGAAAAGGATGAAAGTAAAAGTAAGCACAAGTATTCCATGATGTATTCTGAGAAAGAAAATATTTTACATATCTACTTTAGTTACTCGGTCTAATCTAAACAAATTTAACATTATTTACCCAAACATATTCACATCATTGCATAACCAAAACCGATATTAAAATATTCACGCCAAACCACACTGTCGATGTCTGCAGCCTCGACAATCCAAGACAATCCTTCACACACCAAACTCACTGTTGAATCATTGGAAAAATCTTCCATCCAATTTTAGGGTTATAGTAACTGTTGAAATCTTTAAGAAACGTTATGATGTTCACATGTGGGGGGCAAAAAGGGCGGGAAATAATATATGAACAGATTTTTTATGTGTTAATGACGTTTATTAACAATAATAATGCCATATGATTTCTATTAGTATTAACATTTAGGGAAAATTTTCAAGTTCCGCTCCTCTTGCTCAATGCAAGGCTCAGCCCGTCGCACTATTTTTTTTTTAATTTTACAATTTACATATATACATAAATATTACATATTGTTAGTGCAACCCCGTGTTGTGTTAGCGAGGTGCTTCCCCGCCTGGAGTATTGTCGCCCCGATATATGCTGGTGTCATGGTCACAATGACTGCTGGTCTGTTTGAAACCTGATGATTCATATTATGCTCCACGCCCGCAAAACATGTGGATAACTGGTGAGTTATCCCTAGGAAGAAACGCGTTTTCCCTGGCTTAAGGTGCCGGCCATTTTCACAGACTTCCTGAATCCAACCTCCCTATAAAGCAAATTTGAATGTGAGAGCAAGCACCATTGTTTTGAGGCAACTTAGATATGTTTGTTTACAGTTAAAGCGGGGTGAGGAGCCCGGGCGCTCTCAGGCGTCAGTCAAGCATCCGAAACTCCTCCACCCACAGGTATGTCCACTCCTCCGTATTATACTTCGCCATATTAAGTGATTTTGACGTAGTTAATAGTTTAAATATGCAAGTGATACAGTAACGTAACTGAAGTGTCTTAAGTATTCTTACTCCCTTAGCGTCCCTTTGAAACGTTGATGTTCATGTCAACAACGAGTCTAGAGTTTAGCGTCTGAAACTCCGCCACCCACAGGCCCAGTGTGTGTGTTAGCTGAATACCCCAACGGCTGCCGGGGATCGGTAGCTACCTAACAGTTAGCTGTATTGGACGATGTCGTTAATTCGGCAGGATTAAACTGCTCAAGTCCGCATCCTGGGAACTAGACCCAAGACTCTCGCCGTGTGTCAGACTACAACCGACCATAACAGCGATCTTCATTTGTTGAGACACCAGTGTTATACCCTGGGACACTCCTTACAGTTATATGGTCCGCAGTATTCTTGATATATATGATTGGGGATAATTAACCGAAATATAATTATCCCATGTTGAGTAGTGAACCCATAAAAATTTTTAGTATCAGTAATAACATGTTAGGTGTTGTGAGTGCATCCTTCATATGTACTACCAACAGTTCTAGTGAAGGTGTAGGGTTATGAGATATTGGTTCACACTCAGGATGGGATGGAGAAAGGAAACTCACAATGTGCTCACTGTATACATATTGTATTGGATGTACAATGCAGCTTGTTGCTGGGTAGGCAGCATGGTAACAAGCGTTGAGTAGAGAGAGCTGGTTGGTGAGGGTGCCCAGAGGAGGACACGCAGCTTGAGGGACGCCAAGGTCGCCGGCGGGAGCCGCCAGGCTGGCGCAGAGGAGGTGGTGTTGCTTGCTGGTGGCAGTAGGTAGAAAGAGGCTGGTCACAGCAGTGTCAGGTCTTATAAGGCGGGGGTAGGCGTGGGTTGATAGTTGACACCCGCTCCGTCAGGCGGCGCTGGAGGCGTAGGCTGGGGAATTCGAGAAGGTTCGGCTACTTAGCGACAAACGGCGCTTGTAGGGGAGGAATCCACTACAATACTCCCCTTCCCCTCCGGGCGCGACGGGAGGCTGGAGGTGATGAATGTTGTACTTCCCTCGCGGCAGGTACAGAGTCCTCAGATGCGCCTGCTGGGGTGTGTGGGTCAGGAGCAGGAGCTGTGCGTCAGGAAGAGGGTCCATGACAGCAGCAGGGTGCATGACAGCAGCAGGGTCCACGACAGCAGCAGGGTGCAGGACTGTAGCAGGGGATACCTGAGGGAGATAAAGAGTGGTGTGTGGGTCCGCGTCAAGAGCAGGGGCCGCGTCAGGAGGGGGGTGCTGCTGGGCCGGGGGTGGCGTCTGAGGCAGGACGGGTGTGTTGGGGTCGGTAGGACGTGGTGCTTGGGGCAGGAAGAGGAGCGGCTGTCTGCTTAGAGTAGCAGAGCTGCTTTAGGGTGTCTAACCTGCGGTGTAGAGACAGTAATTGTAGAGCCAATGAGAGCTGCCTCTGCGTGGATAAGCCAGTCTTCCATGTTGCTTGAAGACTGGGAGAGTGATCAGTTTCTCCTCCATCCTGTGTGAGTGCGAATCTCCGGGGGTCACCATTTGTAGGGCAATGAGATATTGATTCACACTCGGGATGGGATGCAGCTTGTTGCTGGGTAGGCAGCATGGTAACAAGCGTTGAGTAGAGAGAGCTGGTTGGTGAGGGTGCCCAGAGGAGGACACACAGCTTGAGGGACGCCAAGGTCGCCGGCGGGAGCCGCCAGGCTGGCGCGGAGGAGGTGGTGTTGCTTGCTGGTGGCAGTAGGTCGAAAGAGGCTGGTCACAGCGATGTCAGGTCTTATAAGGCGGGGGTAGGTGTGGGTTGATAGTTGACCCCCATATGTAATTTTGTCATGTGGTGTGTTCTTTGAAATGTACAACCAGTAATGATGTAAGAAGATAAAGTATTTAATTGGAATTGCAGATGAGTAAAGCCAAGGAGTTGATCCTTGTAGCTGTATGTTAATGAAATGTACCACCAGTAATGTTGTAAGAAGCACGAGTATCTAATTGGAATTGCAGATGGATAAAGCCAAGGAGTTGAACCTTGAAGTTGTATGTTAATGACATCTTTAACCAAATTGAATTTCATATTAATAAACCATGTTTAGAGTATGTTAGGGGTATCATTTTCCCTCAGTATCTGCCTTTATTCTTGTCCAATAATTTGATACCAGAATTACAGAACCCATGTGCCCTAACCCTCGCCATGCTACCAAAGGTCAGAGGTTATGAAGTAACTATGAAATAAAATAATTAGACAGATCAAATGAAGGAAATACAACAAAGAAAGAAGTATGAAATAAAAATATAAGGGATAAGAAGAAAATCCCCCGCCGTTATACTGGGGACTGTCAGTTGATTGAATAAGTCCAAAGGAGGACCACCAGACTGGGCCTGCACTTCGGACCTCAGCTACCCAGAGAGATTAGAACAGCCTAGCTTATACTACAGACGGGCAAGGGGGGACCTAATTTAGGTGTATAAACATCTCAAAGGGCACTACTCAGTCGAGTGTCCTTAACTGGTGCTGGCGGACGCTCACCCCACGAGGGGTCACAGCTCAAGGTTGAAGAGCCACAAGCCCCTGAAAACTGTGAGGGCGAACTTTTTCGGAGTGAGAGTTATGAACTCGTGGAACAGCCTGCCAGACAGTGTTGTGACGGCACCGAGTGTGATCTCTTTCAAGACCAGACTTAACCAGCACTGAAGCAAGGTTCAGATACATTCAGGGGCCAGTATTTGCCAACAGTGCGTAACCTAATGAGCCGATCACTGGTGAAGAGGTTAAAACAAAAAACAAACAAAAAAGAGCTGGTTTAAACTAGGCAACTGCAGACAGTCTAAAATCTCTCTGGGTACCAACTGTTTGTTGGCGCACTAGGCGAAGCACTGGCATTGCTAAGCTAACATGGTGATGTAATGACCACGGTCGTGCATGTTAGTTAACGTAAAATCAGACGATTCATATTACGTTCAATAGCCCACAAAACATGTAGCTATGCCTTCTTTATTGAGTCACCCGTCTAAGGAGTCCATTTTCTCATCGCTTCAGGACGCCTGAGTCCTCCGTTTTCTCTCAACTTAGATTGCACTAGAGACTTCGTTATTCCTTAGTATAACGACACAGAATTTGAAATTGCAACTGTGGTGGTATATGTTGAGGCAACTTAGATATGTCTGATTACAGTTGGAACATTCAAGATACATTGTGAGTGATGTTGAAAGCTTCAACTGTCTTTATTGCTGGTAAAACTTGTCAGGTGAGTGTCAAGTCTGTCAGTACGAGTGGCATATCCTTATATCGTCCTTGGGGATAACCATGAGTTTCCAAGTGTCACTGAAGTTAGATTCTTTTGATGCCCAAACATCAGAGAATCTGATGTTTGCAGTTTAGTTAGTGTCAGTTGTCTATTTAAGAAAGTCATTAATCTCCTGAAAAGATTCTGTCAAACTCAAAATCTCCAAGACCTAACGGCTCCCCAGGAAGAATTCCTCGGCTGTGGTTTATGTCTATTATAAAAATAGACATAAAAATTCACCTGACCCGTGACACTGATTTTCATAGTTGAATGTACAGCGACCGAGTTGAATATAATTTCTGTCGTTGGTGAGATTAGCCTTTCTGGCATGTATGCATAGGCCGGAACTGCCCGAGGCTCATATATAAATGAATGCACGCGGGAGACTTGTGGGGTATTTAATGTTTGGTTCACACTCAGGATGGAATGGAGAAAGGAAACTCACAATGTGCTCTCTATATACATGTTGTATTGGATGTACAATGCAGCTTGGTGCTGGGAAGGCAGCATGGTTACAAGCGTGATGTA